TACAGTTTCTACATAGGACATTGTATAGGTCGTTTTATTTTTACTTTTATTTTTTAACCTACATGCACTGTTTTTTTCATGACGGTATTGGGACTCTGACACTGTTGCTATTTTTTAATACCGGTGGTATACGGTAATACCGCCCAAGCCTAGTGACAACAGAGCACTATTAATAGATATGGAGGTGTAGTGTAGAGTTGCCTTGGTGACAGAGTGGGTTTTTTAAAGTAACAATGTGTATTTTTCCTGGCTATAGGGAGCAGTAGATACATAAATCGTTACAAGCAAGCTGTATTTTTGCGTTGGAGGAAGACCTACCGACGCATGCACGTTAGGTTCAAAAAGGCTCGAGGAGTCCAAACTTCAGCAAAATGACAAGCACGTCAGGCTCTCTTTCATCACTGGCAGTGAGTGAAGAGGTAGATGTGTAAAACAACATTTATTAATGGTGAAAGTTTTGTAACCGTTTGTTATAAAATCAGTAAATGTGTTTTGTCCTCAGGGGCTCCTGTAGAAGGAAACATGGCCTCTAATGTGGCATCACCCAGAGACTTAGACGTTAAAAATCCACCAGTGTTTTTCAACTACTTGGCATCTTTTACTTCCTTTTCAACAACATTTTGATGGATGTTTCCAGAGATTAAAAACTAGACATCATTACTTTAAAGAAAATTACTCTAAAATGAACGATTCTTTTCCACTGATTATTTTTAAATGGTAAATAGACTGTAATTATATATCACCTTCTAGAATCCTAGAACCCCCCAAGGTGCATTACAACACAATAGTCATTCACCCACAAACACACACACATTTACACTCGTAATGATGAGCCACAATGTAGCCGCCGGAGCCTTTGGGCTAACTAACAGAGGTGGGATTGCCATACATGCTCAGTAGGCGCCTCCGGTTTCCTCCGACCACCACCATCAGGCAAGGTGGGTGAAGTGTCTCACCCCAAAGACACAACATCTGCGACAGACTGAGCTGGGTGCAAATTCGGGCTGAACGATTGTAGGAAAAGATTGAATTGTAATTTTTGTAGCAGAAATTGTGATTTTGGTTCAATTCTTGATTTTCTGCAAACAAAGGTCCAACACTAGCCTGCCAAGCCATTCTGTAGATTATGTGAAAGGATGGTCTATGTTCTAGACACCCCAACAAATCATTCACTTTAATATTCACTGTTTAATCATACCCCGCGACCCTGCGTGCACAAAGCGGGTTCAGAAAATGGATGGATGGATGTTTAATCATACAAAAAAACAGTTAAAGCTATTAATATTTTCTCTCCCATTATCTTTTTTTTATTTTTTATGTGTTTGTGAAGCAACGTGTGCTTGTGATTTTTATCTAAAGAGGAGCGTTATAAAAACATGTTCTACTCCAAAAGTGCATGGAGGAAATCTGTTGGTAGAAATAACTTTTAAATGTATTCAATAAAATATGCAGTTTTCCCTGCATTACCGCGGCAGGCTGAAGCCGTCTGATAGTTTTTCCTCACTTAAACGTCGGCTCCATGAGAGAGACGCACGCATTCTGACACCTTAGCGTGTTTGAACTAACGTGTGCCGTCAGAAACATTCAAACCATTTTTAAAAGAGAAGTTGAGCTTTCAAGTCAACTAAAGTGCGCGACTCCGCACTCGCGCTGATGAAGCATAAACCAAGCTTTAGAAGTCAGCCTGAGCCTGCTGATGTGGGAGGAGTCTCTCTCTCCCTTACTATACTACGTTCTCTCTCTCTCTCTGTCCCGGGCTCACCTATGGTGCCATTATCGGCTCTAGCAGCGCTGTGTGTGGAAACATAAAACAGGGAAAATAACCTGAACATGCAGCTCTGGCAGCTGTGGAGTTGAGCTCGGCTCTGGACGGTACACCCCACCCCCCTCCCCCGCACAGGCTTTTGCCACCGCCATAACACAGGGGGAAAACCCCGGATGTAAAAAAAAAAAAAGTCACACAACTGATCCTGGATCAGTCAAAACCACTAAAACCGCAGCTTTGACGGTCACATGATCGTGCTGTTTGAAATCGCAATTTCGGTCCAGAAACAATAGATCGTTCAGCCCTAGTGCAAACCTACAGCCCTGTCTTTGTTGGAGCAGGCACTTACCATCGGCTAGCACACTGCTGCTAACCACTTAATCAGTCTCCCTCTCCTAGGGCTGCTGAATTAATCAAATTTTAATCACAATTACGATTTGAATTTTGAACGATTATACAAACAAAACAAGCCGATTATTTGCTCCTCCCACTTGCGCTGCCCTGAGCTGCAAATGAAGCGCTCCTCCCACAGTGTTGCCAACTTGGCGACTTTGACGCTATTTCTAACAGCTTTTCAGACCCGCTTCTTGACTTTTTAAATCTTAAAAGTACCTAGCGAACACCTCAAAAACATTTCTGGTAACCCTTAGCTACTTTCTGGATAACTGTCTGTCGTTGACATTTCCTGCAGGTTAACTAAGCACTCCGCCTGCGCTCCGGACCGTTCTTGAGGACATTAGGAAAGGGAATGATGTAGTAATGTGTCAGTCGCTAAAGAAACGGCTCCCAGAGTCGGCTCCTTGTTGGATTAACCAGAGTGAGTGGCACACACCGTACCTGCGGGCCCCTGAGCCGTAAAAAACAGCTAAATAAGCACGTGCTGAACACACGTGCAGCTTGCCCCTGATCGCTATGAGACCGGGTTGGGGGGTGGGGGGTGCAGCTGTGGTTGGGACAATTATTACATTGATGGACCTGTAAATAAATAGTTTATAAATAGGTAGAAATAAGTTCCTCACGCTGATAAATAATAACTAATCTCTCTGAGGACACGGTGCTAGTGCACTCTCCTACAGCACCTTGACACGACTCAATAAATGTTATGCAACATTTTGTGAACATCAATTTATTTGCATTTATTTGTTATAAATGCTACTGTATAATTCTTGCTGTCAGTATTTGCAAGATATTGGTATTTGGGTCTGTACTGGTTAGACTTAAATGAGTTAAACCAAGGTCTATAGCCCTTGGGTCATAAACTATGAGCTATAAGTATATTGGTCTTTTTATTCTGGGAATCAGGAGTTATTTTAGTGATCATCTTGTTTCTTATTTATTTTTGTCCTGATTGTGCCCTGAGCAATTTTATGACTGAATAAAAACAAATAAAATCAACATTAATTGAAAAATCGTCCTAAATAATCGTGATCTCAGTTTCAGTCATAATAATCGTGATTATTGTTTTTGCCATAAAGGAGCAGCCCTACTCTCTCCTGATAATAACATTTTACTCTCTTTGACATTGATTGTGCTACTACTAGTTTACCCGTTTAATTATAGATTCACTAGGATAAATACAATAAAGTTTATCTTTCACCAAATGGAATATTTACTAAGCAATCACAATGTCACCATAGAAACACTTCCCAACAAAAATTGGTCCGACGCTGATGTAGTGTCCATGTCCAAAAATGGTCGCGGTAGGACGGCCCGAATTTGTAAAATAAATATAACAGAACATGTCTTAAAAATCCATTCAGATACATTTGTACATGCCTACAGTTGTATGTATAATTGTTATTTTGGCAATTTGTTACATGTAGTTCAACATAGCATCCCAGCAAATATTGGTCTGACGGCAACGTCGTGTCCACGGCCAAAAATGGTCACGGTAGGACTGTCCCAATTCAAAAAAAAATGTTTACATAACATTTCCTTAAAATCCACCCTGATTTGTAGTTACATGTATTATTGTTACGTTGACAATAGCCTACGTATAGTTCAACACATAGCATGTCGTGAATCAGTTGTAAGTGAAAATCTACTATTTGTCACTTCATAAATATCAGTGGGATAGCTCAACCGGTTAGTCATCTGACTTACACTCTAAAGGACCCGGGCTCGTGTCCAGGCTGGGATAAGTCAATCTGTAAAGCAAGGTAGGACACAGGGCCCATCTTATTTATTATAATTATTATGAAATGTAAAAACTACATTTTATTTTACAGTGTAGATGAGATGTACACTGACGGTCATTAAACGTCCAAATGAGACATGCCGAAAGACGTGAAATTCACGTCCAGAAAAGACTTCGGTTCAACTTTCGTTTTGGAACTATTTTTCAACCATGATGGGACGTGTCGGCCCAACGTCTTTTCAACGTCCGAATGTTTGCTGAGTACTTGGTATACATGCCAGTATGCCTCGCCTCTGTCAGTGCGCCCCAGGGCAGCTGTGGCTACGTCGTAGCTCATCACCATCAGTGTGGGAATGTGAGTGTGAATGGATGAATGACATACTGTAGTGTAAAGCGCTTTGGAGTCCTTACTCTGAGAGGCGCTATACAAGTGCGGGTCATTTATCATTCATTCATGTATATGTTTTGTGTGTGTGTGTGTGTGTGTGTGTGTGTGTGTGTGTGTGTGTGTGTGTGTGTGTGTGTGTGTGTGTGTGTGTGTGTGTGTGTGTGTGTGTGTGTGTGTGTGTGTGTGTGTGTGTGCGCGTGTGTGTGTGTGCTCTGTCTTCTCCATCACCAGTGAGTCGTGGAGGATGGCTGCTTATACTGAGCCAGGATTCTCTGGAGGTTTCTTCCTGTTAAAAGGGAGTTTTCCTCTCCACTGTCGCTGCATGCTTGCTTAGTATGAGGATTGCTGTAAAGTGACTCGATGCAACCTGCTAAGTTCCTTATATAGGAAACTTTTTACTGATTGGCTTAATGAACTGACCTGAATTGGTATGTTTATGATGTGAAGTGCCTTGAGACGACTCTTGTCGTGATTTGGCGCTATATAAATAAACTTGAATTGAATTCAATTACCTCCTCTGCCAGTGTTGCCCATATTTAAGTAAGCATGGAGCCCCACTGGTGGGGCCTGGACACACTGGCCCAAAATGCAGAGATGCCAGCGTAAACAAATTAATACAAATAAATTATTTCTAACTTTTTCTACTACATTTAGATTCTGGGTTGTACCTGTTTCTTTTATTTAATATATTTTTTTCCATTCTCTCTCAGTCCGAGCAGCCCAGTCCTGCTAGTTCCAGTTCCAGTTCAGGCTTTGCTCCCACACACCACAAACGTCAAGGTAATAAACCAACCAAGCACACACACACACACACACACACACACACACACACACACACACACTACCCTTGACTAATGGTTCTGTAAACGTTTGTTTCATGTAAAAAAGCACACTAACGTAGCTTTTCGCCTGCAGTCATATAAAAGAAAGCTGAATGTTTTATCTCCAGTGTCTAGGCATTTTTGACTAATTAGTAATAAATGAGTCATTTTGCTTTAAAAATATTTTAGTTTTACCAAAGCGACGTGTTAAAATTGCACTATAAATGAAGTGTTGGTATGTTTTTGGATGGAGTTTTTATTTTGATCCAAAGTTTTAATTGAGATTAATTAGAAATGAATATTTAGATAAAGTTTGCATTCATATTTATGTTGTTAGTATTATTTATTAATTTGATTCACCATTATTGTTTATTTTCCTGCATATTATCATTGTTTAAAATGGCAGTATCAGTCATCCACTCACGCACACACATTCACACGCTGGTGGTGATGAGCTCCAATGAAGCCACAGCTGACAGAAGTGATGTTGCTGAGCACAGGAACCACAGGTCCCCGATGCACCATCGATGCGAACTAGGGTCCATCTGGACTCATCAGACTAGTCTTAATACAGCGTTGGACTGTTCTGAACCCAGTTCTAGTCGTTTCTGCATCTCCTTAGATGTTTTCTCTGCTTGATGCCGATGATCTGACCCTTCTCACACAGACTAACATCTTCTCCACGACCACCAGATGAATCATTCCACCTGGTTGTTTAACAAGTGAGAAGCAACTCCGAAAGGCGGGTTTAGTGTCTTGCCCAAGGACACAATGACAGTAATCAAACCTGCAACCCTTCGGTTAACGGGCAGGCACCAAGCTTGGTTTATGCTTGACGCATTTACTTTCCGCGCGGTGATGCGGCTCGCGGCTGGAACGCGCTTCACAACTTGCAGCGTTTGTGGTTCATGCGGCTTGTCTCTGTGGTGAGCCAATATTCTCCCAAACTGTAGGGGGCAGCATGGAGCTCTACGGCATGCATCCAACACTACACCATAGTAGAAGTAGAAATTACTGTTTACAACATGGCATTCCAGCATTTTTTAACAGCGTTCTCGTCTTTTCCGACAGTGCGAGCTATTTCTCTCCAAGAATTATTAACAACATGTTGATCACGGTGATCTTTGAGAGCTGAATCATACAAATGTCTGTATTTACGAACCTCTGCCATGCTAGTTCTTGCCAGTCCGCCATGTTTTTCCACGTCCGACCGTCCGCGAGGTTAGAAAATTTCCTCGGTGCGCAGTGCGGAAAGTTTGGGCCGCAACTTTTCCGCGCGGAGCTGTGCGAACCTCGCGGACGTGTCAAGCATAAACCAAGCTTTACTCACCTGCCACGTCCCCCAGTTCCTTAATGTTTGTTTGTTTGTTGCTTTAGTTTGAACATTCAGCATTTTGTTCATCATTAAAACTAAACCGAAATAGAAAAAATAAATATGAATGATAGCAATAGCTGTCTTTATGTCATCGTGTCCTTCAGTCCGAATTTACAGTTTTATAAAAATATACCGTAAAGTATCCCTCGCTTCAGTCCCAAACGTAAGATCAAATATGAACATTGCAGATCTTTGTTGTTCCACTTATTTTTAATGGTACACGCAAAAACTCCACAGTGATATACAGGTGCTGGCCAGTAAATTAGAATATCATCAAAAGGTTGAAAATATTTCAGTAATTCCATTCAAAACGTGAAACTTGTACATTATATTCATGCAATGCACACAGACCAATGTATTTCCAATGTTCATTACATTTAAATTTGATATTCATAAGTGACAACTAATGAAAACTCCAAATTTGGTATCTCAAGAAATTAGAATATTCTGAAAAGGCTGAATATAGAAGACACCTGCTGCCACTCTAATCAGCTGATTTACTCAAAACACCTGCAAAGGCCTTTAAAAGGTCCCTCAGTCTTGTTTTGAAGGCACCACAATCATGGGGAAGACCTCTGACTTAACAGCTGTCCAAAAGACAATCATTGACACCTTGCACAAGGAGGGCAAGACACAAAAGGTGATTGCTAAAGAAGCTGGCTGTTCGCAGAGCTCTGTGTCCAAGCACATTAACAGACAGGCGAAGGGACGGAAAAAATGTGGTAGAAAAAAGTGTACAAGCTCTAGGGATAACCGCACCCTGCAGAGAATTGTGACGACAAACCCATTCAAAAATGTGGGGGAGATCCACAAAGAGTGGACTGCAGCTGGAGTCAGCGCTTCAAGAACCACCACGAGGAGACTCATGAAAGACATGGGATTCAGGTGTCGCATTCCGTGTGTCAAGCCACTCTTGAACATGAAACAGCGCAAGAAGCGTCTCGCCTGGGCCAAGGACAAAAAGGACTGGACTGATGCTGAGTGGTCCAAAGTTATGTTTTCTGATGAAAGCAAGTTCTGCATTTCCTTTGGAAATCAAGGACCCAGAGTCTGGAGGAAGAGCGGAGAAGCACAGAATCCACGTTGCATGAGGTCCAGTGTAAACTTTCCACCGTCAGTGATGGTGTGGGGTGCCATGTCATCTGCCGGTGTTGGCCCACTCTGTTTCCTGAGGTCCAGGGTCAATGCAGCCGTCTACCAGGAAGTTTTAGAGCACTTCATGCTTCCTGCTGCTGACCAACTTTATGGGGATGCAGACTTCACCTTTCAACAGGACTTGGCACCTGCACACAGTGCCAAAACCACCAGCACCTGGTTCAAGGACCATGGTATCCCTGTCCTTGATTGGCCAGCAAACTCGCCTGACCTTAACCCCATAGAAAATCTATGGGGTATTGTGAAGCGGAGGATGCAATACGCTAGACCCAACAATGCAGAGGAGCTGAAGACGACTATCAGAGCAACCTGGGCTCTCATAACACCTGAGCAGTGCCACAGACTGATCGAGTCCATGCCACGCCGCATTACTGCAGTTATTGAGGCAAAAGGAGCCCCGACTAAGTATTGAGTGCTATACATGCACATTCTTTTCATGTTCATTCTTTTCAGTTGGCCAACATTAGAGAAACAAACATTTTTTCATTGGCCTTTAGAATATTCTAATTTTCTGAGATACCAGATTTGATGTTTTCATTGGTTGTCACCTATAAATATCAAAATTAAACGTAATAAACATCGGAAATACATTGGTCTGTGTGCATTGCATGAATATAATGTACAAGTTTCACGTTTTGAATGGAATTACTGAAATATTTTCAACCTTTTGATGATATTCTAATTTACTGGCCAGCACCTGTAGAAGTTTGAGTTCACTTAAGATTTACAGAATATGAATAAACATTTTTGACAAGTACTTATTATTTTTTATCATAAGCAGGAACTAGAAGTCTAGGAACCAAGTTTACTCTGCAGAAACTCACCAGCTGAACCTCAGATATTAAAAGGCATCAGAAATCTTATTAGACACAAACACGGTTACGGCACTGCCTCCACGTGCTCCAGCTCTCACTGCTGCTCTGCTTCATGGGATCATGCTGCAGCTTTCATTTGTTTGTTCATGCCTAACGCGGAGGTTCTTTTGCTGATGCGTGAGTGTTCACCGGTGTTTTTCCAGTACTGGGCCCACTTCAGTCAGTGATGCAGGATCTACAGTCAGACAACGATGAGGAGGAGGATTCGGAGGACAACGACAACGATGCAGACTCTGATGCAGAACGACTAGCACACACACACCTCACACACCATCAGTGCAGGTTGGTGCGGGTCACGTTGTGAATGGACCAGTAGCACATGGAAAAGTTATTACAAGCATGAACATATTGGATGTGGGAGAAAAACATCTTTATCAGTTTTAATGTGTCAGATGTTGTATCTAATATAAAAACTGTGTATTTCATTTGTTCCTAGTACTTTGGAATACACAGAAATATTTATTATTTTTCTGGTGTGTTTCTTTAAGAGAGCACAATGTGTGTTCAGAAACTGGTTGCATTAACTCTGGCCGGTGTTTCTCAATTAGTAGTGAACGCTACTCCGAGATTCCCCAACATGGAATATGGCTGCTGGACCCCCCCCCCCCCCCCCCCAGAGATTATCCTTAGCATAAGACTGCTGTCTAAATACCAGGGATGTGTATTTTTTAAATTCTGGCGATACGATACATATCACGATACAGGGGAGACGATACGATATATCACGATATATTGCGATACATTCATTCAGATGTTACAAGCAATTTTTTTTACTGAGTTTATTGTAAGAATGTTCATTAAACAGTCCAAACTGATACGTAACATGTTTAACATGAGGTATCTGAACCATGATGGAGGGATTTACATTTCAATGGTGGAAACAAAACCCGTTGCACACTGCTGCCAACTAGTGGGTGGCGATTGAATTGCACAAAACTAAAAGAAAATACACAAATGTTTGCATGTAAATTCTTTCAAAAATTAGATGCACGGCTTTTGAATATCGATGTAATAATCGCAGGAAAAAATATCACGATATATTGCCATATCGATATTTCCAATACACGGCTTTTGAATATCGATATAATATTGCTAGAAAAAATATCACGATATATTGCCATATCGATATTTTCTTACATCCCTACTAAATACTGAGTGACATTCATTAGTGGTTGTGTTCATGCTTATCTGTTTACAAATAGGCTGACACCTTAACATGTGAGAGATACTTTGCACTCTGTTTACATTCATCTTGTGTTATTTAAATGTCATACTTTTATCGTATTTTTGCTTCTTTGTTTCTGTTATGTTTACATTTATCTTCATGTTTACGAGATGAGTTGGTTCCTCAATCTGGGTGACGTTCATTTCAATTATGTTTACCGTGTTGAACATAAACTACTCGGCCAAGAAATGTTGCCACTAAAAAGGGTCACACAGGACCGTTGGACCACCTTTAGCTTTATTTACAGCGCACATTCACTGTGGCATTGTTTTGATACACTTCTGCTATATCATCAGATTTAATTCCATCATAACGTTCCACCAAGATCTAGCACTGACGATGGTAGAGTCTGACCGCTGCACAAATCCTTCTCCAGCACATCCCAAAGATTCTCAATGGGGTTAAGGTCTGGACTCTGGTGGCCAATCCACATGTAAAAATGATGTCTCATGCTCCCTGAACCACTCTCTCACTATCTGACACGATGAATCCTGGCATTGTCATTTTGGAATATGGCCGTGCCATCAGGGAAGATAGAATAACCTGGTCATACAGGATATTCAGGTAGTCAGCTGGCCTCATTCTTGGAGCACATCCCGTTGCTGAACCTAGACGTGACCACCTGCAGCAAGCCCAGATCATAGCACTGCCCCCACAGGCTGGTTCAGTAGGCACTAGGCATGATGAATGGGGGATTCCACAAAAATAAACAATCAATAATGAACAAGAGTCTGCTTCTAGACCCGCACAAAGAGAAAAACAACACAACAATACAACAAGAGCAAGCTATCACTGATCAGGAAATATAAAATCAACATTGTTTTACTGAACAATCACAATAATAAATCACAGTGTATTTAGTGCCAACCATAGCCTTAAGACATGTGTTGAACGTGCTCAAGTCCATACTTATGAGAGCACCATGTGAGCACCTGTGTGTGTACACGCGCTTGTTTATGTAAGGTTTCTCTATAGGAGCGTCCAATAGAGTGTGTGAGGGGCCACAGACCTGCCCCCTAAAGATGTGTAGGAGACGGAGGGAGCTCCAAGTCCCAGAGATCCAGGAGCTGTCCCAGAGTGCAGGAGCCCCAGTAATTTTCAAAATAAAAGTACTGCAGCAATGCAATTTCATCTACAGTACAGGCCAAAAGTGTGGAGACACCTTCTCATTCAGTGTGTTGTCTTTATTTTCATGACCATTTACATCGGTAGATTCTCACTGAAGGCATCAAAACTATGAATGAACACATGAGGAGTTATGTACTTAACCAGAACAGGTGAAATAACTTTAAACATGTTTTATATTCTATTTTCTTCTAAACTATACGTTTTTGAAAGTAAAAATTTTCTTCTGAAAGTGGAATTGCAACTGTCGTAAACAACCCTGCTGCAGGCTGCTGTAGCTAGCGCTAACAATGGGCTAACAACACCAACAGCCAACTAATACTAAAATAAACCACGAAGTAAAAAGAGCCACACTGTTAGACAAAATATAGTATTACTTACAAGTCCAGTAGCAACAAAGCCAGGTCATCATCAGTTTGTGAGTTTGTAGCCTCCTTTAGCAAAGTAGTGTAGGCTGTGCTGATGGTCACTCTGGTTTTAGCTCTTTGCTTTGCCTCCAAAGACATTACTCTCTCACTTTTACTTCCAGGCCTTGCCATGATGCCAACAGAAAAAGCAAACTTTTCCTTTTTCTTCTTCTAGTAGTTTTAATTGAGGATTGGCAAATTGAAAATGCTAACCACTAGCATTGCAGCTAACAGTAATAAAGCAGGTCAAATACGCTCCCAAGGACACCTACCCACTCCACAAAAGTGGAGTAGTAATCTAGCGGTAATCTAGTTTGTTTTTGGTCAGCAGTGTCAAATATGAAACCCGTCAACCCAACAATCACTGAGATCAATGTTAAAGCTCTAGTTTTCAAAACTGTCTGTCGTTACTTTAGGTGAGTGCAATGTAATTTTGTTGTTTATCTGTAAAATGACGGTCTTGAATCACAAAACAGTCTCTGGTACCTTATTAAAAAAGAGCTGTTCATCAAATTATTCAAAATGAATATTGTGCAGCTTTGTGTTACAGGTTAATAGTTAAATCTGAAGTTGATGAAAAACAGTAAATACAAAACATTCATGGATGTTTTTGCTTCTCTGGCGAAAGCTTAAAATCCAGAAAGAAACTGTTTACTTTGTTAAATCATTCATTAAAAATAGGATCTGTTTTACATTTTATTTTACTTGCAGAAGGATCTTGTTATTGATATTTATTGTATGATTTACTAGTTATTTTGAACAAAACATTTAAGCTTTTTAATGGATTTTATTTTTCTACCCAGGGTTAGTTGGAGTGATGGGAGTGAAAATGATGGCTCCTCTCCTTCTCCTACCAGCAAAGAGGCCCCAACTGTATTTAAGACTACTAATAACAAGGTAGGATATGATCAAATAAATGAAAACATTAAAGGTTGAATATGGAAAAATTTAATCAAAAGCTACATTAAAAATACATCCACAGAGCATTTAGAGGTGTGTAGAATGAAGATGTAGGCTTTCATTTAAAAGCTATATTTTAATTTAAAAATAATCAAATATTTATTTTGACTCGACACTGGGTATACGTTTACATCTACCAGCCAATAGAGGGCACCGTTGAGGGTTGCCAGACGGTCCACTCAGCACGGCGAGAGGCTAGCCCTGTGGAAAATTGTGGACTCAGCAAGTCAAGCTGCTGCTTCTAAGCCCAGAAAACGTCGTTATCCTTCTCAGAAAAGGAGCGACCCTAAAAGATCGAAAACCAGAGTGGGTTTAGGTGAAGCCTGCAACAGATGGACACAAATAAAAAATGACTTATCTGCGGCGAACCTGGTATCCCCACGGCTGGAAACCTTGTTCTTTTGTTGCAACTACAACCTCCACACACTAGATGTCGCTTTGGTGTTTGTGTTCCATATTCAATCTTTAACACGTTATTATGGCATCAACACAATAGGTAATTGACTCTGAATATTTTACAGGTTAACACCTGTAAAAATAGCTGCTGGAGTATTCATTTTCTTCTTTAAGCCCATTGCTCGCTGGCTCTCAACATCATTAGTTTCAAAACTTGGGAACTCAATTCTGCACGCACACTGAACTGAGTAAATAACGTGATAATGAGAGAGGAAGTTATAAAATCACGAGTCAATTGCCAGAAAGCATTTCTGCTCTAAGAGCAGATCAAAAGTATTAGTGTGCACAAGTGACTGTTTACTAAACCGTGCATGAAGCTGTGGACTAAGAGTGCACCGCAGGGATACGTGCACAACACTTTCTCCTTATCCCTCCACCCCCTTCTGAAGAGCCTTACTTTGGTGATTTGGATTAAAGATGTTAGAGAAAATCATGCAGGACAAGACCTGACCCAATTAGAAATGAACACAGATGGCTTGAGACAGCAATTCAGCAAAGTCACTGAAGAATGAAGTCATTAATGTGCCAAGACATTATTCTAAAAAACTTTATATTGTAGGCGTTGGCAGATGGATGAAGGGTCAGAGGAGGTATTCATCACCAAAAACAGCACTTTATTCACAACTCAACTCCTAACTGCTATATTTCCTTGACAACTGGTCTTCACAATAAAAGGATGTACTTCAGTTTTCTTTGGTAGTAGAATAGGTCCTTCTCGTGTGAGCTTAACACATCAACCAAACACCACACAGGTGCCCCCAGAACACAGAAAGGCAGTAAAACACAGAAAACCTCCATTTAATAAAAGTGAAGCAAACATCAGCTATAACGAAGGGGCAAATTAATGGGGCGGCCACCTCTACTGGTCTTAGTTTGATGGACAGAGTCCATCTTGGACTGTACAACCCTCTGTGGGTGAGTGACCAAGCCAGTAGGAAGGGAGTTCGGTGGCCGACCACGACGAGGTGGTACAGCCAACTCTACAGGCACGTCAGACAAGAAGTGGGCTGGCTTAAGACGGTCTATCGAAACCTTCTCCCGACCGCCGGCCAACTCAATGAGAAATTCCTTGGGTCCCGCCTCACAGACACAAAATGGGCCATTGTAAGGCGGCTGCAAGGGAGAACGATGAGAGTCATGGCGGACTAAAGCCTGGTTTATGCTTCTCCGTCAGCTCCGCAAGGGACAGACACGCACGGATTGACGGAAGCGTTTTGCTCTCATACTTCTCCGTCTCCTGGAGAGTGTTGCAAAGCAATTCCCCGCCAGGACAACAGAGGGCGTAGCACTGTTCTGTGGTATCCTGTCATGAATCGGTCCAAGACAGTGTGTTTATATTGTGTTTTTTGTGTATATAAGAGACTTTTAACACGGACATATTTGTCTCTCATTCTCCCACTTCTTCGTGCGGTCCCCACCTCTAAACCCACGTTTCCTGTCATTTCCGTCCACAAATAAAACGCTTGCTGCGCATCTTTTCACTCCTCCAGTCACGGGAAGATGAAACGTTCATATTTTTAGAGTTTTTACGCCATGTAGTCTTCAAGCTTCCGTGTCTGCCGCTAGTTATCCTCGGCTCTCTTTGCAATGGTGGCGCTGTAAACAACAGCGGTGTCCTGACCAATCACAAGCTTGCGTAATACGTCTCGTTCGATGGATGTTTAAAAAAGTGGGCTCGACTCCGTACGTACTTGCATGCCTGCCGGAGCCCTACGCAAGGACGGATAATGGCGTTGCGTGTCTCCGCACTGACGCAGACGGAGAAGCATAAATCAGGCTTAACACGTACTCAGCTGCCAAAAGGTCTTTAGGAATGTATAAGCGCAGAATAGAGTGGTGTACTGCGACTGGGACAGAAAAACCTGCCCGTCAAACAATATTGGGAAACTTGGGTGCCATCGCACAGGCATCAGAACCTTCCACTATGAACTCACCAGGGACTGACCCAAAACAAGCTCAGCAGGGGAAGACTTTAGGTCTTCCTTCAGAGCAGATCGTAAGCCCAAAAGGACCCACGGCAACCTGTCCACCCAGCTTGCTCCAACGAGAGAGGCTTCAAGGGCTGCCTTCTTCGTACGATGAAATCTCTCGCGAAGACCATTGGCCTGTGGGTGGTAAGCTGCAGTGCGGTGAAGTTTGACCGCTAAGTTGTTAGCAACCTCCGTCCACAGTTCTGAAGTGAACTGGGGGCCCCTGTCTGAGGTGAGGTCAAGGGGTACCCCGGAACGAGACACTCAAGTCGAGATGAAGGCGCGTGCGACATCTGCAGCAGTAGTGGAACTTAGAGGTACGACTTCTGGCCAACAGGTGGCACGGTCCACCATGGTGAAAATGTGGGTGAAACCGCAGGATGGAGGCAATGGGCCAACCAGGTCCACATGGACGTGTCGAAACCCCATCCAAATAGTTTTCTATTCTATTTCCTGCATTAGCGACTGAGTCGGATTAGAAAAGCCTGATCTCAGTATCAACAGCAGTAGGTTTATTTTACAAGACGCACTTATGAGAGTAAATCGATGTTACATGTAGCACTTTTTTTAAGAGGAGCTTTATACGTGTTAATCAGTCGTTTGTGTTCGTTAAAAACTAACAAAACAGCTGTTTTTGAGGGCATCGCCATATTGGAATTCTAACCTTTCGAACTAGGGCAACCAGAATGCAGTAAACTCAGGTGTGATGTCATGCCCAGTTCCGAATTCCGAGGTAAATCAAACACACCATCATTTCTACTTCCTAAAACAGGAGCTCCAAATGTTTGTTCCCACAGATTGACTCACAACATTTTTGCATTTTATTAATGAACAATGTAAATAAAAAAATGTAAAATGGGAAATAATAAAGAAAGAAATATATCTTCAAAATGGCCTCAATCAATGTATTCCTCGTCTTATGGCACAGTAGTTTTTATCCAAATCACCAAAGCAGGACTCTTTGGGTATGTAAATGGTAAATGGTAAATGGCCTGTATTTGATATAGCGCCTTCTAGAGTTCTTGAAACCCCCCCAAGGTGCTTTACAACACAATCAGTCATTCATCCATTCACACACACATTCACACACTGGTGGGGATGAGCTACAATGTAGCCACAGCTGCCCTGGGGCGCACTGACAGAGGCGAGGCTGCCAAGCACTGGCGCCACCAGTCCCTCCGACCACCACCAGCAGGCAACGTGGGTTAAGTGTCTTGCCCAAGGACACAACGACAGCGACAGACTGAGCGGGGCTCGAACCTGCAACCTTCCGATTACGGGGCGAGCACTTAACTCCTGTGCCACCGTCGCCCCATGTATGTAATGTCGTTGTTACTGTAATTAGGCGACTGTAAATTCCTTCATTTCATCTCATGTCTTGATTTTATTCCCTCTCGTCTGTCAGATACTTGAAGTAAAATCTCCCATCAAACTGAACAAGCAGGACAAGAATGCAAACATGGATTGCGACAAGGTACAACCAGATTTTAACACCCTATACCTAATACCTGCTAATGTCTACATAAAAGACCAGGATCTTCCACTTTGTGGCCAAATAACCACAGTTGCATAGGAAAGCTAATCGGATAATAATGGCAAACCAAGGTTTACCGAGGATTTTGTTTGTCTACCCTTCTGTTGAAATGTTTAAGAAAACTGGTAAAAACTCATCATTTTAGAATTTCTTTTGATCGACAGATGCTGTTGTTGTCTGTAAAAAATGGGTTGCAGTGTTGTTTGTCTGAGTGAGTGTTCATTTTGACAAGAAGTTTTAATTTAGTTTTAGTCTTTTTTTAGTTGACTAAAATGAATGTACTTTTTCTTCTGACGCAAGAATTTTTTTGTACATGAAATATTAACTACGCCTGTTCCAAACTGTAAATGGAAAATTCACATTTTAGAGCAATAAAACTATATTCAGGGTATCCACGGGTCCTTACAAAGTCTTAAAAAGTCTTAAATTTGCTTTTCCAAATTTAAGGCCTTAAAAATCCTTAAAATTGACAAATAATCCTTAAATACAGTTTCCAAAGGTCTTAAATTACCAAAGACCCAAAAAAACAAGATTCTTTTATTTTTATAAAAATTTTTGTGAATTTCTAGTTAGTGTTCAGCATTTTTTGTGTACGATGTTGACGTAAGCGGAACCGTACGCATTCAGTTGGTTTTGAAAGGGGGCTATTTTTAGATGAGCACATTACCTGGTTAAGCTAGTGGGAGCTTGCGCCATGGGGAAGTGCAAGTTTTATGGTAACTGGATGGCTAATCAGGCAATAGCTGGAAATAATAGCCTAAATTTAATTTGAAAAAAAAAAAAAGCTTAAATGCTGTCAGTGGCCTTAAAAAAGGTCTTAAAAAGTCTTAAATTTGGTTCCCTAATGGAAACTGTCAAAATGAACATTGGCAGTTTGACATTGTGCTTCTCACTTTTAATAAAGTAAAACACTGTAGAATGTGCAGTAATATTTGTATACATGACAGGAAATGACATCATACCGCCTGAATGTTTTTTCCTCACAAAAACGCTGTTAGAATGCCAAACGCTGATAATATCGGCCGTAGCAGCACCACGGAGACATATAATGATCCAGATATGCCACTCTGCATGTTGGGTTTGGTTTAACTCCAGCAAACATACCTCAGCACCAACGCTTGCTGCTTTTATGACAGGGAGATCCCCAAATGTATAGTAGCTGCTTCTTCTCTCTCTCAGGGTATCTGCAGGTTTAAGGGAGTTAAATTTAAGACTTTTTAAGACCTTTTTTAAGGCCACTTTGACCAAATTTAAGCTATTTTTTAAAATTTAATTTAAGCTATAATTTCCAGCTGTTGCCTGAAACCGGTGGTAACCATGTCGCGAACGTGGGATTAGCCATCCAGTTACCATTAAACTTGCACTTCCCCATGGCGCAAGCTCCCACTAGCTTAACCAGCTAATGTGCTCATCTAAAAATAGCCCCCTTTCACAACCAACTGAATGTGTACAGTTCCGCTTATGCCAACATCCCACACAAAAAATGCTGAACACCAACTAGAAATAAACAAAAATGTTATAGAAATCAAAGAATCTTGTTTATTGGGTTTTTGGTAATTTTTGACCTTTGGAAACTGTATTTAACCCTTTGATGCACAATGGTCACTACATTGGACAGGTACTCAAAATTGTTATTTATTTATTTTTGCTATTAAAGAGCAAGTCACCCCCAAATAAAAATGTTTTTTTTGCTGATAAACTAAATAAACGAGTGTCTAATCGTGCTGCAGACACGTGTCGTCAATAATTTGGCACTTCAGTGCATCTTAGTTAAAATTTAAATATTCTGCCTAAAACTGGCAGTGTTGTGCCGTTGTCAGGTAAAAACTCTGCACTGTATTTGAATTTAAATCTGCCACCGCTATTGGCTAAGAGGTATGCTATGATGTAAACTGGTACATTATGATGTCACAATGCTGTCGTGAGCCTGAGTGTGTGTGTGTATTTGTTAGCGGCTCCGCCCTCTCGGTCTGCCAGGCAACAGCATGTGTTGCATTTTTCGAACATGAAGTGGGAGTGGAGTTAGATTGGTAGGGGTTGACTTGCTCTTTAAGCACAGCTGTTGAAGACTTTATTGCATTTGAGCCCCTCTATTTGGACTTCAGTAAGTCAAGCAGACATATTTCATGTTCAGAATGCACGCTGTCCACTGAGGTGGACATGTAATAAACTATGTGTAAATTAAATGTTACAAAAAATATGTAAATATGAAATTTGTTCCATTCACACCTAAAGATGAATGAAAAAATGTGTTTAAAAAATCATGGTTGAAGATTTCATAATTCATGCAACAAAGGTTTAAGGATTATTTGTAATTTTTAAGGATTTTTAAGGCCTTAAATTTGTGAAAGCAAATTTAAGACTTTTTAAGGACCTGCAGATACCCTGCTCTCTAGTCCTGCCTGTTCCATTTGCTGATTGGTTCTTTTTTCTGTTCTCCCATCTTTTCTGTTTTTGTTGTTATCTTTTATTCGTCGACTAAATAACAATCAATATTAATAATAACGTTAGTCTTTATACAGAGTATCCGCAGGTCCTTAAAAAGTCTTAAATTTGCTTTTCCAAGTTTGAGGCCTTAAAAATCCTTAAAAATGACAAATAATCCTTAAATAGTTTCTAACAGTCTTAAATTACCAAAGACCCAGTAAACAAGATTCTTTTATTTCTATAAAATTTTCGTGAATTTCTAGTTAGTGTTCAGCATTTTTTGTGTACGATGTTGGCGTAAGCGGAACCGTACACATTCAGTTGGTTGTGAAAGGGGGCTATTTTTAGATGAGCACATTAGCTGGTTAAGCTAGTGGGAGTTTGTGCCATGGGGAAGTGCAACATTAATGGTAACTGGATGGCTAATCCCACATTCATGACGTGGTTAGCACCGGTTCCAGGCAATAGCTGGAACTTATAGCTTAAATTTAATTTTTTTTAAAAGTAGCTTAAATTTGGTCAAAGTGGCCTTAAAAAAGGTCTTAAAAAGTCTTAAATTTGGCTTCCATAAACCTGCAGATACCCTGTTATAGAAGAATAATTTTTAGTTTTCATTTAGTTTGTTTGCAAAAATCAATTCAGCACGAAAAAAAAGTACGAAAAAGTTTTGTCAACGAAGTTACTTTGCAGTAGTGTGATGTCATTGGCAAGGGCTTGAATCACAGCAGACCATGTGACCTCTTTTTTGTACATCAGAATATGGTAACCCTAGCTTTGGCAAAAGATCAAGGCCAAGAATGCAAGTGGCCAAATTCAGTTTCCTCTGCAGGGTGATCCACTTCAGCCATAGAGTGGTGTTTAGTGGTTTTTAGTTATTTTCTCAGGCCCCCTCAAGGAAATACTCATTAGCTCCCCCTTCGACTCAGACTCTGGTAAGTGGATGAAAATGGACATGCACACTTGTTAATATTTTTATTTAGATTGCTGGTTTGGATCTGTTCGATGCTTTTGTGAACGGTGATCGTAAAGCCAGCTTAATCTAGTTTGGTATTTTCCAGGCTTATCTGGATGAATTGGTGGAGCTTCATAAAAGACTGATGATGCTGAGAGAAGGTCATATATTGCAACAGGTGAGCTCCAACTTAAATTACTACACAACATGCACTGATTTGTGTAATCAACCAAAATAAAAAAGAAAATGTACTAATGTCTTGTTATTGTAAAAATGTGGGTATTTTCTTTGGGATGTTCAGTCGTGTGTTTTTGCTCCAGATCCAATTCTGGGTCATTTGATTTTAAGAATCTGCCGATACAGAGTCCTGATTAGGTACTTTAGAAACGCATTAAGAAAAAAGAAGAACACCTTTTAACGTCCTTCTAAGTTTTATTCATCATTAATGTGTTTCTTTTGCCCTGTATTTATGTTGTTTCTTTAGTTTATCTACCATAAAACATCACTTGTTTAGGAAGTACATTAATAAGAAACCTGTTAATATCTAGATAATATGTAAATATAGTCTTATTATGAATGAAAATAATAAGAAATGTGTTAATATTAAGAATAAATGTAACAGTAGTCTTGTAATAGTAGTAGTAGTAGTAGTAGTAGTAGTAGTAGTATTTTAACTCATTTAAATGCTCGGTGTGTGGCTGTTTTCAGCTACAGGGATTACACGACACATGACGTCAGCAGCAGAGTAACTTTTTTCTACATAACACCTGTACAGCTGCTGCGTGTGTAAACGTAGAAAGAGAAAGCAGCTCGTAGCTCGACTGCAGAACCCGACATGTGCAGTCACAGACCTTCATCCAGTGTGATGAATATTCTGCTATCTCAGCATTTTTGCTGTCTGGAGAATATTTCTTGGTTTCTTAATGTACATTTTAGTGTCGGCTGAACTGCTGCAGCGAACTGAGCAGGTTCAGGTTTTTTAAGGTGGCACATCAGCATACCTTTTCCACCTTGTTAAAGGCCCAGTTTGCTCACATGTGTTTATTATTAAATGAACTCTGTTGTAAAATACATCCAAATTACAGACAATTTCTCTCTCTTGAGGAGACAGCTATGCTGTGGTAGCTAACTGCTACATGTTGTGGTGCGTGAATTCCCGGGCTACCTTAAATTGTGGGACTTAAGGTGTTGTTGTCTGTGAAACAAAGAATACTGATGTTGAATTTAAACCTAAGCCATTGTTATTTCATTTGAAAATCTCTTTCTTAGGATGAATTTAAAAAGTAATATTAGTAAATAAATAAATAATACATTTTCCCCACCAATTCCGATTTCCTGAAAATCACGTGATCTGACCTAAATTCCGATCACGTGATCGGATCGGAGCGTCCCTACAGTATCTTAAAAAGTCTTAAAAAGTCTTAAATTAGCTTTTCCAGATTTAAGGCCTTAAAAATCCTTAAAAATGACAAATAATCCTTAAATACAGTTTCTAAAGGTCTTAAATTACCAAAGACCCAATAAACAAGATTCTTTTATTTCTATAAAATTTTCATGAATTTCTAGTTAGTGTTCAGCATTTTTTGTGTACGTTGTTGGCGTAAGCGGAACCGTACACATTCATTTGGTTGTGAAAGGGGGCTATTTTTAGATGAGCACATTAGCTGGTTAAGCTAGTGGGAGCTTGCGCCATGGGGAAGTGCAAGTTTAATGGTAACTGGATGGCTAATCCCACAATCGCGACGTGGTTAGCACCGGTTCCAGGCAATAGTTGGAAATTATAGCTTAAATTTAATTTTAAAAAATTGCTTAAATTTGGTCAAAGTGGCCTTAAAAAAGGTCTTAAAAAGTCTTAAATTTGGCTCCTTTAAACCTGCAGGTACCCTGTATAATGATGATGATGATGAAGTGACTAAAATAAAGAAAGAAGAGCTGGAATGTAATTTAGTGTTTATATTGTGTACTTATGTGCACCTAAAGTGGTTCCACTCTAGCACACAAACCTGCACTAAATATACCTTTTATTATGTGTTTGTCCACTATAGGTTCATGTAAATGTAGTCCTTGAGTAATAGGTCAATAATAAACCTGACATTCATGTTTACAGCTTTTTGTTTGAGAACCATGTAAGGCTTAGCCTAGCAAGCCAGACTAAATAAATATATCATTTCTGCAAAGCAAGTACTTGGTGTAGTTCACTAGGCAAGGCTGGAAAACCTGTGAGGGGGGAGGGTACCTACCGTAGTTGCTTCCCAAGCAGATAGCCCGTGCTGTGGAAGTCAGATGAATTAAAAGTCTCTACTTTTGATGGACGCATCTACTGTTAGACTACATCAAACGTCTTCCAATGATGGTTGAAGAAGTGGAAGCCCCAGAAAATGATACCAAAGTAATGTTTTGTGTTAGTTTTACGTTCTTAGGGCAAGAAAAGGTTGTTTCTGGCTCCGGTCAGCAGCTGTTGTGTTATCCTAAGGACAACCGTTCTGTAGATAAGTGGAGAAGCTGTAAGGCTTGGGTTTCTGCTTACAGTAGCCAGAATAAAAGACCCGTAAACGAGAAACCTGAGTTGATACATTATTATTAGATTTATTTATTACCTGTAGCGTATCCTAGTGGGCAGAACTAGCCATCCACCACAGAAGGCTGCTCATCTAGCATGATGACTTAAATGATTTTTCTGGTTATTTGCTCAGTTTTCTGACGGTCATGCTCATATAGACGTGTGTTAGTGAGCACAGCTGCATCTGAATGCTGCTGCACTGAATATCTTTGATTCTGCAGGGACCATTGAAAACTCACTTCACTCCTCCCAGAGTTTGTTCTTTCAAAGTCCTATTAAATATTAACGAGCTTCCCCCGTGGGTTTACGTCACTCTCACAGATGTAGCGAAGGGTTGACAGAAATGTTTGAAACTTTTGCTGCTGCACATATGCTCATATAATGCCGCACACAGGATATCTGCTAGCTACAACGTATGAACAACAGGTGATTGGCTGGTATGAAAGACATTGGTCGGAATTTGCTGATCACGCGTTTTTTACAAAGATTGGACGATTATGATTGGTGGCCAATCGATCAGAACGTCTCTATTTATCATCACTGGACCCCACTGGTATATTTGTGCCATGTACTCTGAGGGAAGGGGAGAGCCAGGGGAACAATATGTACTTTCTTGAAGCAAAAATGCTTCTGCACTCATGCAGTCCAAGGGTACTGATCGGGACTGTGGCAACAGTAAAGCAAGCCATGCTCTGGCCTGGGGGAAATCCCAGCAATAACCTGGTGTGACAATAAATTACGCAAAAATGTATTGTCTAGAGATGAAAGATACAACAAATTCATGAGTGAGCATTTAACTAAATACAATTCGGTTCAATTCAACTTTATTTATATTGCGCCAAATCACGACAAGAGCCATCTTTTTGTAAATGTACATGACAAATCTTCTTCATACTCCAGGGTTACTTGTGGAGTACCACAGGGTTCAGTGCTTGGACCAGTTCTTTTTACTATATATATGCCTTCAATTGGTAAAACCATTAGACAGCATGGGATAAACTTCCACTGTTATGCTGACGATACTCCGCTATATCTATCCATTAACCCTGATTAACCTTATCAATTAGGTAGATTACAGACTTGTCTTAAAGACATAAAAAATTGGATGACTCTAAACTTTTTGCTTTTAAATCAAGACAAGACTGAAGTTCTCATCTTTGGACCAGAAATCCAGAAAAGGAAATTGCTTAGTCAATCACCTGACCTGAATGGCATTACATTAATCTCCGAGAACAAAGTAAGGAACCTTGGTGTTATCTTTGACCAGGACATGTCATTCAAATCCCAGGTTAAACAGGTTTGTAGGATTTCCTTTTTCCACCTTCGGAATATTGCTAAGATTAGAAGCATCCTTTCCAGGAGTGATGCTGAAAAACTAGTTCATGCATTTATTACATCAAGACTGGATTACTGTAATTCATTACTCTCAGGAAGTCCACAGAATGTGGTTAAAAGTCTTCAGCTTGTCCAAAATGCTGCCGCTAGAGTTCTGATGAGAATTAAAAAGAGAGATCATATCTCTCTTGTCTTAGCTTCCCTACATTGGCTGCCTGTTAAATTCAGAATAGATTTTAAGATCCTACATATTATGGTGATCCTTGGGTCGTGATTAGGGCTGCAGCTATCGAATATTTTTGTAATCGAGTACTCTATCGAATCTTTTTTTCGATTAATCGAGTACTCTAATAAATTACCCTTTTGTGTTTGTAAACCTTTATATCATATATTGATGAGCCAAGATGGCGCCGAGTATGGCTGCCTCGTCGCGAGCTCCACCAAGTTCCAACATTACACGCTCCATACTGTACATTAATGCCACTGTTTTGCACATACCAACCTCTGTACATTTTATATCTCTTATCTTATTGTTTACTTTATTCATTTGTATACTTAGATTAGCCATTTTTATATTTTACTTGTTTTTACATTACTGTATTTTTGCACAACTCTGTTGCTGTGAAGCTCGCACACAAGAATTTCACTCGCATGTACTGTACCAGTGTACCTGCACATGTGACGTGACAATAAAAGTGATTTGATTTGATATCAAATAGCATGTTATAATTATGAAAGACCTCTTAAAATGAGCAAGCAATTGCCAGTTATTCAAGTTTTATTCAAAATTAGTTTGCATAACTTCAGCACTTCAACTTTACTTCACAGTAAACAAATGCCTGTGCAAAAAATAAGCAAACCTGAGCCGATTTTCCCCTTGTGCGAGAATCTGCTAGCCTGCAAGTCAGACAAAAACTAGGAGGATAACGCTGCGAGCGGCTGCGGCCCAAACAGAACCAGAACCGCTCACGGCGCAAACAGCTCGCCGGCTGTTTCCCTATTAACACACGTCCGTTTTAATTTCCACACTTTTTTTCTCACACTAACAAGGATTGCCAAAAGCATGTTTGCTGTGGTTTTGTCAAATTATACTGATCACAAAACATTTATTTACTTTCTTTCGTTTTCCTCCGCCACTCATAAATACCCGTGTCCTCCTGCAGAAACCCCGAGGGACAACAGACATCAATAACACAATAAAAAGTCCAACGTGTTGTGTAAAAACTGCTATTTTTAGCACATTTTAAGCCCGACGTGTTGCTACCAGATGTACGGTGTGAGCTGAAACTGAGCGCTACAAACGAAAAAGTCGCAGAGTCCGCAGAATATATAGAAAAACAGGCTAAAATGCATTATCTTGTAGAGGCTCCGAGTCCGCTTGCAGAAGTGACATTTACAGGTGCTGCAGCACGGAGGATGTGGTGTTGTGCTAGGCTAAATCCATTTTACTGTATTTATACTGGACTACGTTTTCCACCTTACGACGTGAAAAATGGTTCCACAACTTTGACATTTTCTGTCTTTTTCGCACTCCACCGGGGTTCAAGTTGTCCGCCATGGCTTAAGAGAAAGTTAAGTTATATTCGCCACTCGCGTGTGCATTCAGTCCAGTGGGCATGTGCGTCACTTATTTCGGTCCGGGTGAAACATGACCCCGGGCGATTGCAAAGCCATGAATTAATTAAATATGAATTAAACGAATCCTCGAGGCAGAGAATTTGACTCGAGGATTTTTTGTACTCGAATTATTCGAGGTACTCGAGGAATCGTTTCAGCTCTAGTCGTGATGATGGGGCCCTTTAATACTGTTGCCCAGGGTACAACAAAGTGTTAATCTGGCCCTGACCATAAACAATGTGAGAGTTGCTGCCTTCCATCAGTGAGGTGCTCATTTAAAACTTTTGAGTTCAACAGTCTTTCCCTATGCCTCTGCCAAATTTCATTTATGTCTGACAGTTTGCTGTTGCTGCTGCTTGCTTGGTGGAGGCTCAACACAATTTTCATACATGACTTACCTTTTACCAGGATCTGAGTGCCAAGCACATTCGATGTTGTAGCACAATGCGAACCAATCGTATTGGTTTTCCAAAAACTCTGCTAAATGACCTGCAGCAAAATAGGTAAAAATGGCGTCATCATAGAGCCGTTGGGCTAAGCTGGCCAAATTCTTTAAAAATCATACAAGGGGGTTTCTTTTACATTCTTATAATAATTACAGATCTATGTAATGTTTGGACCAATGGAACAACATGCAAAATTGTTGGCTGCCAAATACTGTTTTGCCCTTCACTGGCCTGGCAAGTCTGTATGAGAATAGTCTGGCCATGGTCCATTGATGGCTCTCAGTCATAGGGCAGGATCTACAGTTGTCTTTCAAACTGCCTCTGCGTGCTATTGTATAACAAAACATGACTCACTCACTGCTAGATGAGGCTAGTCAGTCAACGGGGCAGTCCGCTGTGCTTTGTCAACGAAGATGCAAATACATCCTTTTTCTAAATAAACTTAAGTACCTCTATCTGCTCTTGACTCAAAGAAAAGTTGAAGTCTAAATAGTCCAAAGTTGATGCAAAAACCGTTTCAAATGAGCTGTCGCCATCTTTGTTTTTTCAGTAACATTCTGCCCACCAACACAGTGCTGTGATTGGCCCTCTAAGTCCGTAAAGCGCCGTCATTGGACTGCTATGGATGTCAGCGAACAGGGCAGTCTGCCATTATATCATGGAAGAAGCAGGGTAGAAGACAAAAATAATAATCGTCTTTCTAAATAAATGATGCAATTGGCCCGCCACAATACTGGTGGCGGTTCCATGGAGCGTTGCTACACCGACTTGCAAAGCTAAATTATTTAGCTTCATCAAATGATGGTCTAGATTCCAGGCTACCACCACTGATGTTGGTGATATTGATCCAAACAGCCCACATCCTAATGATGCATCTTCTGTGTTTGGTGTTTTTCAGATTGTCAACCTCATTGAGGAGACTGGCCATTTTCACATCACAAACACAACGTTTGACTTTGATCTTTGCTCCTTGGACAGAAGCACTGTTCGAAAGCTCCAGAGTTACCTGGAAACCTCTGGACTATCCTGAGGCTCGCCTCAGCTGTTCCTCTCGATCTCTGGTTTCTTTTTTACTTTTAAATAAATATGCCAAGACTGGAATGAAAAGCCTCTGCTGTGTGTCTGGTCTGTTGGTTGGACCAGGCTCCCTGAGTGAAGAGGTGGTACTGCTGCACAAACCAGAGCCAGGTCTTGTGTAAAATTAGACCTGTTATCAGGAGATTACCTGGAAAACCTTGAAATTTCACATTGATTTTAAAAGGAGTGGTTGCTTTGCTGCTCTTTATGAATCTGCATATGTTATCATGTATGTTCTTTTGTTTAGTGTGAAAAATACATGGTAAACATTTCCCTACAGCATTCTAAGTCTCATTTATTGGATTTGTTTACAGGTGTTTGAAATCAAAGTAAAACTTGGTAGACGGAAACATTTTAGACCTCTTAGATTTGGGGTGTTTTCTGATCACTGTTGGAGTCAGAAGACTGACTAGTTTTACTGCTGTAAGGGAAGAAAAGTCTGCCTAGGTACGTTTGGGGTTAGTTTTCTATTTCAGTATGTTTTAGTCTAGGCCAGCTTTGCAGGAATCCTCTTGGATGGTGAAGGCGACTATTCAAATCTGGTGTAAAACTCAAAGATATCTGATGAGGCTGTTGTGAGTTCATCACAGCCAGTGTGTGTTCAGATTGGATTCAAACAAGGCCGACTAGTAAACCCTTTAATTCAACACACACAGATCATTGTCTACCATGTCTTAACGCAACCGCATTGGGTAGTTTTTAGTTTCAGCTTTAAGCTTTTAGACTTTTTATTTTTGAACAATTAGTTACAAAACCAAAACATCAGAGGTCATCCGTCTCACAAGATTATAGGGGTGGGCGATATAACCTAAAATCTATATTGCGACATAATTTGAAAAATGTGCGGTAACGGTATATATTGCGATATATGACTTTCTTTTGTACATGTGTCAAAAATGACTGTTTCTAAACATACTCACATACCAGATACATTGCAGCAGCAGAAAAAACACACTTCAAACAGTATAAAATGCCATTTTAAGAAAATTTATTGCGCAAATATCTAAAAGCTTTACGAGTAATATTTAAGATGTGCAACAGATCTTTTTCCAAAAAATGGAATGCACCATTCTTTAATAAAAAATAAAATTTTGGATATTTTAAATAAAAATACAAGTAAAAGTTAGCTAAACACAAAAGTTTTTAAAATAAAGTGAAAAATGTCTTACCGCTCGACTGACTGGGCGTTTGTTGAGGACGCAGTTTTTGGCTTTCTTCGTATTCCACAACGTGCTTCGTTTTGACGTGGTAAAACATGTATTCCCTCTATTCGCTAATACTTTCTTCTGGCATACTATGCAGATTATATTGTTCTGCTCCACATCCGACTCTTTAAAGCCAAACCAAGTCCAAATGATCGATGTTGCACCGGTCTTCTTTACGAGAACCTCCTCCTCCTCCACCACAGGCTCCATGCTTTCAGCCTCAACAGACGCCGCTTGATGACATCATCAACATGCGCTACCGCGATAGGCCGATATAGTCAATATCTCTACCGTTGGCCAAATTAATATCATTTCTACCGTATACCGTTTATACCGCCCACCCCTACAAGATTATATCTATTCTTTTTAAGGAAAGCCAAGTAGTCATGATGTGGTGCAGCACATACCGCCCTAAATCATGCTAAACCCATACATACATTCAAAAGTGGGTGTAAAGGACAGCTTTGGGTTTTTTAATAGTGATAAAGGTTGTTGGGGAAATTCCTTTAATGAGGAAAATTTTTGCTGCATTTCTGGGGTTTTTGAGGAAATATTTTTGTGGAAGTGACGAGTCAGAGGGGTCAGGAACTGTTTGGATGTAAAAAGTTTTTTATTATTTATTTTTACAGTTTCTGTAAAAGCCAGTTGCTAGACGGAGTGGCTGGAGTGGGGATGGTGGTTTTCTACGTGTTCTTAAAGGGTTTCCCTTGTCCTGTTCTGTCTTTGTGTCTTTTGTGTTTTTGGAGAAAACTGAATAAATGTTCTGTATGATGTACACATCAGTCATCTTTTTATTGGGTGTCTTTTTTCCCCACACCTGCATAGATCATTCATCCTAAAACTTCTGCAGACACAGAACATCTAGCATGGGACAGCAGCAGCTCAGGAGGTGGAGTGGGTGGTCCAGTAATCAGAAGGTTGCAGGTTTGATCCCAGCTCTGACCAGAGAATGCTGCTGTTGTGTCCTTGGGCAAGACACTTAACCCATCTTGCCTGCTGGTGGTGGTCGGGGGACCGGTGGTGCCAGTGCTTGGCAGGCCTTGCCTGTGCCAGGGCAGCTGGGGCTCGTGGCTCATCACCAGCGTGTGAATAGTTCAGTTACTAATAGCTAGTAGTGAGGTCCTTATTCTGTATCACAGCAACTGGTCAATGCACAGTTTCTATGGTGCTCCTGACTTTAAAACCACATCTACATTGTTGTTGACAGCTTGGGGTGTCAAACACACCATACCAAAAACTTGGTTCCATCTATGACCTGAATCGGCTGCAGGTCGTCCAGAACGCTGCTGCCAGGTTCTTTACGAGTACACACCGATGTAGCCATATTACCCCTGTCCTGTAACATCTTCACTGGCTCCCTGTCATTTTCAGAGTACAGTTTAAGTTACAGACTTTTGTATTTAAATCACTCAACGACCTGGCACATCCCCATCTCTCTGACCTGCTCACTCCATATGTACCCACGCGCACGATGAGGTCAGCTGACCTTTTGCTGCTGTGTACGCCGCGGATGCGATACAAGTCGCGGGGTGAACGAGCATTTGTGCATGCTGCCCCAAAGCTGTGGAACTCGTTGCCCATTGGAGTTTGGCAGCCTCCATCACTGGTGGTTTTTAAATCTCGTTTAAAGACCCACTTTTACGATTTGGCTTTTAGACAGTGACTCGTTTGAGTGTTTTATTGTGTCATTGTTTTAATGTGTTCTTAGGATTCATCATGTTTTATCTGCTTTTGACTGGTATTTTTATCTTGCTTTAGTTCCTTAGAATGGTCACATTTTGTTTTAGCCTGTGCAGCACTTTGGGCAGCTCCCATGCTGCATTTTAAACGTGCTATACAAATAAACTATGGTATGGTATCCTAAATTAGTCATTTTATAATGGCCACTTGGTTACTTGTGAGAAAAGTCATCAGCTTAGACCTGCCACCTTTTTTTTTTTTTTTTTTTTTTTTACCGTGTCCTGTCTGGCTGTGAAGCAAGCAGAATTGATGTCTGAATGCTGGTAACAAGCCTTACAGATTTATTCTCAGGTGGAGTATCAAAGCGTCCGCTTTTAATGTCACGCCTAATACTTAAAACTTTATTGTTATTGTTTTTGAATGCTTTGTAATTCCGACCAGACACGGAGACAGAGGTGAAAGAGAAAGGAAAAGAAAAGGTGGGGAGAGAGGGGGGGTGGGGTGGGGGGGTTCCACAAAAATAAACAATAATGAACAAGAGTCTGCTTCTAGACCTGCAGAAAAAGACAAAAAAACGCAAAAGGGCAAAAAAAGGGACACAACAACAGACACGCCACCTTAATGTCCCAACTGTGTGTGTGTGTGTGTGTGTGTGTGTGTGTGTGTGTGTGTGTGTGTGTGTGTGTTCTTCAGAGTTCAGGCAGACCAGCAGGACTTCCTGTTTTAGCTTTCAAACACCATTTCCTCCAATAAAGGGGAAACCTTCAAAAGTAATCCTTCACAGAAGAGATGCAGAGGCATTGATTGTCACCCTGGCACAAGGCCAAGGCTAAACACACACACACACACACCACCCTGAGCCTCAGGACCACAGTCAAGCAGCTCTCTGAGGACGTCATTAAAGCTCAAGGTTGGCGAGTTTCTCCTGCCTTCATCTTAGTTTTCAGATCCATCAAAAGGCAAACATGTTTAATGTGAAAGTGTACGGCGCATGATGGATCTGTCCTTCAATCCTAAATCCAAAAAGATCAGGACATTATGGAACAAATGAAGTAAGTTAGCTTTACAATGACATGAACTTTGGTTCCATAGAAGATATCAGAATGTTGGCTAGTAGTGGCACACGGTGTCACGTTGCAGGGATGTTTAGGACCCAAATATGCAGATTACCCATGACTCAAGGCAGAAGTTGGTAAAAGTAAAAATCCTTTTATTTAGAACAAAAATAAATCCAAAATGGCAGCGGTGGCAGCGGGCCAAAAGTCCTGGAGAACAGGACACCCAAAGCTCTCTTAGAGCACCAACAACCTGGAGACCAAAAGCTCACTAAGAGCACGAACAAACGCTGACAAATACACAATGGACCGACAACCACACAGAGACAAGACAGGGCTTAGACTGGGAAGATGAGAGGGAGATGAATTACAGGTGTGTGGGGAGAGGGACCAGGTGAACACAATTACTAAATCAGGGAGGAGGAAGAAAACACTGGTGGGAAAAACACACTAAATACTGAAAGTCTGTAACAAAGGAAAATGACCTAAGAGAGAAACAAAAGACCAGAAGGCATGCACCATAACTAATATTCTAAGGGGAAGCTGACACTAAAGGAAAACACTACAGAAAGAAACTACAGGGGCGTGGCTAAGAGGGGGCCAAGAGGGCACAGGACCTGGGAGAGGGAAGTCTGAGGGGGGAAACCTAGAGGGCAAATGGGGATCGCCAGGAGACACACGAGGAAGACGCAGACATGACACGTGAGGGCGCTAGAAGACACAAAAGGAGCACCTAGAGACGAATGAGGACAAAAGGAGACACATGAGGTGAGACGCAGACACAGACCATGACACACGGCTTCTATCTAACAAGTGTGGCTACATGAGCTGCAGATAGGCCACAGCTGCGTTGACTCTACAGGACTGGCTGGTCTCTAATAAGTTTATATCTTTACATAAACCTCAGCTACATCAGCTTGTTGCTGTTTTGACCGCTAAACGAATGATAGAAGAAAGAAGACCAGTTCAGGTCCCTGAGCACTTGGCTGCTGTCGTCACGTTTGTGCAGATCTGCAGTAATTCAGACGTGTTTGTTTTGATTGCTTGTGCAGTTTCCCCACCTAGGCCCTGTCCACACGTAGCCGGGGATCTGCCAAAACGTAGATATTTTTCTACGTTTTGGCCTGTCATCCACACGAAAACGGATCATTTCAAAAACTCCGGCCAACGTGAAGATCTGCGTTTTCTCCGTTTTGGGTGTCTGCGTGTGGACAGACACAACTGGAGTTTTAAGGTCCGCAACGTCACTTTCCGCCACAAAAAAATGCTGACATCACGTGTGCGACCTGTGTTTACACTAGCCGACAGCATGGATGCCCTCAGAGCTGCGCTCGCTTTATCAATTGTCCAAGCGCTCTTTGCTTGTTTGTTTTTGCAAGCGGAATTACTGCTCCTTGCGGAAGACCACAGACGAAGGACGAGGTTAAGAACGGGGGAAGTACTGCCGCCTACAGGTCTGGCATGTCCTTAACAACGTATTCATCCGGGTACGTGTGGACAGAGTTTTTTAAATGAGGTGATGTGGATGCAAGTTTTTGGAGGGGCGGATATTCGTTTAAAAAAAAACCCGGCTACGTGTGGACTAGGCCATAGTTAGACTCAGCTCCCCTGTGGAACTCTGGGAAACCAACTCATCTGCCAGCTTTCCTTTAACACCCCCCAGACATCAGATAAAGTGATGTAAAGGCTAAAGCAAGCAGATGTGTGGCTGCTTTACAAGCAGCCGAGGCCTCACTGACACTCTGCTGCATTTGACTGTTTTTAACTCTACCCCTCTCCGCCTCCTGCTGCACCCAGACGCCCTGCACCACCTAAACGGGTCCAGTCTTTTCGAGCAAATCCCAAACCTGGTCTTTGATTTCTGCATGAGTGACGTTTCTCCTCTACTAGCTGCTTTGTTCCTCCTGATGGAGCTGAGAGGGCTAGCGAACCGTGACCCCTGGCAGCCCTCCCCATCTGTGTGAGGCAACACACACACACACACACACACACACACGCAATACCAAGCTGCTACAGAACTTAGTAAGAAAGAAAGGGGAAACAAATGTCAACAACTGTTCCTTAAAGCCTCATTTACACAACGTCTCATCCCTGACAGAGATTACAGGATCGGAGAGGGCTGCTTGTTGTGTGTGTTCTGATGAGTCGGCCATGTGTGATGGCTGAGGAGGGGAAGTCTGGACTGCTGCCTGTTCAGCTGTACTGAACCACCTGCTGCCAGATGGACCTGAATGTAAGCTTCAGCAGGAGACTTCCGTTCCCAGGCTTCCCAGTGACTCCTTCTTCCCAACTGTTGACAAACGTAGCATCCTGATATTGGAGGAGCAATACTTATTTAAATATGTTATAACATGCTTAATTAGTTAAAGATCATCATTTCAATGCATTCAATGTAGGAACAATGTGTGACATTAAAATTCTTTATTTGTTTCCTTTCCACGTGTAAAATATAGATACAGATTTAGATTAATTTATAGTTTTAGATATAGGTATATCATAAAATAATTTAAATAAGAATTATTGAAAATATCAGCCATAACAGCTAATTTAATATCGTAGCAGCACAAATTTCCAATATTGTGCATCCCTGCTGTTTGGCAACAAATCAGTCTGTTTAGTATTTCTCTACCTCTTCATGCACATTAAACACATATTAATGGTTTATAAAGTGTTAATAACATGTCAAAAGTGTATTTGTTAGTCATTTGTTAAGAGAGCCTTATTAAATGATCTAAGGTTACCTGTGAAGATGAACTATAGTTGTACTGTAATTAAATGCAGTTTTCAGAACTGACTGATGAAGCTTCTGTATCTGATGAGGCCGCCTCTTCCTGTTGAGGAGAACAGAGTTCAGGAGATACCTACAAGCACATGGAGAGTGTAGCTGGACATTTGTTCATTGCCTTGATTTGAGGAAAGAAAATATGTGACTGTTCTGTATTGCGGAACATTTTCCGAATGTTCATTTGAATGCTGCCCCCCCCCCCCCCCCCCCCCCCATAAGTGTTCTGCTGGTTCTTTTAAATGTCTATTCGTATGATGGTTTGTGTGTCATTTGACAACAAAATCACATTGTGAGGAGAAATAACATTGTTTTGAATGTGAAGTTTCATTTTGCAGATTAATTGAGGGGTTTTGCCCATTGTGTGTGTTTTTTGGATTTGTGTGTAGAGTTCTGAGAATATGAGGCATGCTTTCAGAAAATGTGTGTAAACAATTGAGAAAAACTGTAAGACCCAGGGTTAAAACAAGGTCCAGAGTGTGTCCCCTGGTGTGTGTGTGTGGGCCAGAAACATGCTGTGTAAAGCTGAAGGAGTCCATGAGGCTGGAGAAGGTCGTGGCAAAGTGGGATCATCAACGTGGATGTTAAAGTCAGCAACAATCACCAGTCTGGACAGCTTCACAGTGGAGGATAAACCACAGCACAGTAAAACGGGTCATTATATACGGAAGCACCAAATCACCTTGTTCTCTGATGATATTATGATATACCTTCCTCTTCTCTAGAGCTCATTACTACGTTATGGGAAGACGGATATTTGTCAGGATTTATACTCAGAAATCCCAAATTTTGATATTCATTTACTGTCCCAACCTACCGATTAAGGAAGAATTTAAGGTGAGTTGGGGAGCGAAATGCATTTACAGTTTTTCCTCAATTGTTTACACTTTTGTTTAAATTAAATCCTTACAACACACACAAACCATCATATGAAAAGACATTCATAAGAACCAGCCGAACACTTATGTGCTCAATGCAAAACAGTATGATGAGTGGAAAACACTTCTTCTCCATTCATCATAATGACTTAAGCCTTTGTGATTCAGTGTTACACTTACTTTAGACAGTATATACATACTTTGACTCTTTCTGAATTGCGTTCAAACGGCACCCTGTAGACCTGCTTCATCCTGAGATGATATCTGCGCAAGACATGGTCCAGTGTTGATAGGCTGACTCTACCAATACTTTGAAACGTGTCATTGTTTTCTATTACCTTTCTTTGTATTTGCCGTAATGTTATGGCATTGTTTTCTAGGACCATGTTCATGATCTCAGTTTCCTGTTCAGGAGACAGAAGACGTTCCCGACCACCTCGTTTTGGTAATCTTTCATCCATCCATTTTCTGAACCCGCTTGTCCACGTAGGGTCGGGGGTAGGGTTATTTCCTAAATACTGGAAACATACTTTACAGTATTTTTACTGTCCAACTAAACCATCCACAGGCAATACTACTACTATACTCATTGAATACTGATTGTATTGATATGCAGTACTGCCATTTTCTGGTGAGAGAAGATTTCTTACCTATTCTCATTTCGGAAGGTCCGGATGATGGATGGTACAGTGTACCTGCTCAAATGTGGCTGTACTCTTTGCCCAGCCTCCCTCATTGTAAGACCATAGTTGACCACATGATCAACCAAAGTGGCTCGGATCTCATCAGAGATCGCGGTCCTTGTCCCCGTCCTCCTCCTCTTATACTCTCACTCCTCTGGATCTGCCTCTGTTTCCAATGTTGGCATCCATTGCAGCAAAACAGAAGAGCTCACCTGTTGCCCTTTTATGCTAAAGCTCTGATTGCTGATTGTAAAACTGTGTGGCGGGTGTTTGCCCTTGTGATGAGTCAGTGTGCATATATTTGAATAGCAGTGTCTTCGTTGTGAAAATGTGGCAAGGTGGAGAAACGAGGGCTCGGGCGGGATTCAATCCCCACACTCCTGGGTGAGAGTCACGCGTGCTAACCAGTCAGCCAAAGGGACATCCCCTTGGCCAAGTAGCCAGGGCGCATGATCAATCGGGACATTGTGACAGGACGCTCACACTGTCACAAAAACAAGATATTTTCTGCATGAAAAGTGTGCCAACAGCAGAGAATTTTGTAGTATTTTGAAATAAGTGTGTTTAAGATTTGCAATTTGAGTGCAATGCAGGAATTGTGCTTGTAGTTTAGCAGAATTTAAGGGGGTTGGTGAATTGGTTACATTTTGTGGTCATTTTGTCTCAAGTACCAGAAAATGTGTGTAAACAATTGAGAAAAACTGCAATAGCTAGAAGTTAGGATCTCAAAAAGTTTTATTCACAATTGTAGCAGAAAATTATGACCCCCTTAATCTCCACAATCAACTCAGACCTAAGCAGAGGTAATCTAGTGACCCATTACAAAATTGGATAGAGGGTGGAAGCTAAAGAAATGAACATGCTACCTAGACTGCCACATCGGTTTCAGAACATATAGAGCTCCCCAAAAAACATTCCAAGAAGTAGATAATTTGATTTCATGTTTCAAGTCTGCTTTAAGGCACTCCAATGAACAAAAAAAAAAATAAAGTGGGCCTCTGTATCCCAAATCTGCAGAATTACTATCACGCTGTACGAATAAGTCGTAAATGCCTGTATTTGATTATGGGTGACATCAATCCTTTGTATGATGCAAAGTGGAAATCTCATTTGAAGCTATTATAGGGCTGAACATCTGAAGATGGAGAAAAAAAAAACCCTCTTGAATGCCACAAGATGAGGATCAAATGGAGATCCACCCATTTTCCTCCACTCATGCAGTCGGGTTGCAGGGGCGGCAGCCCAAGTCAAGACGCCCAGACTTCCCTCTCACAGCCACTTGGGCCAGCTCCTCCAGGGGAATCCCAAGGCATTCCCTGGCCAGTTGAGAGCCATAGTCTCTCCCAATGTGTCCTGGGTCTTCCTTTAGGTCTCCTCCCGGTTGGACATGCCCGGAAAACCTCACCAGGGAGACATCCAGGAGGCATCCTGACCAGATGCCTGAGCCACCTCAACTGGCTCCTTCTCGATGGAGAGGTTTCAGATTTCCTACCAAACTAGATAGATCTCAAAAGTAGACCAAGAACAATCTTTTTAAGGGAAGCTCAATATAAACCTGTCATGATCTTAAGGTCAGTTTGCACTTGTATTTACTCATTTTCTTTCCATTAAAGTTTAAATAAACCACAGAAGAACTAAATTCTTTGATAAGGGCAACAGCAACATTAAAGCCTATTTAAAAGGTTTAAGTACATTTTTTTAGCCAAAATGTGACTCATTTTCCTTCAACCATCTTAATCTCTTCGGCTGTATGTATTTTACAAACCACTCTGGTGTGCCACAAGCAGCAACAAAAAGCTGATGTCACAAAATGTTTGCTTTGAACAGGTTTGTATGCTTAAATTTGGGTATTTATCAATTAAATTTATTTTAAAGTCACTTCGTGCTTTACCACAAAAGCTACCCCTTTTTAATTAAGTTAGGAAATCAGAATTCACTTTTTACCAAATCTTTTGTCAGAATCAACCCCATGTCTAAAAAAAAAAATAAATAAATAAATTAAAAAAAAAGCACAACTTCCTGATCCTCAGCTCGTGATCTTGTCATGCCCTCTAGTGGAGAGCCAAGCCGGCCTGGAAAATAGATTTTTGATGGGACTATGCAACACACACACACAATTTCATTTGAAACACAAGAACTTTAAAAATTACACATAACTGCGGTTGGGTCAAAAAGAAAGGAAAAAGGCTTTATTAAAACACCACTTTAAAATGGGAATGCCACAAAAGCTGTATTTAAACACAAACTGCAGCACCAGAAGGGAAAAAAAATAAAGCTTCTTTGAAGCCACATACAAAAAAAATAATCAAACAGGTGAGTAAATGCAAGCTCTGCCATCAAAATCCTAAATGTGTTTGAATCTAAAACATTTAACCACCTAATGCAGACTTCAATCCTGAGACAACACACACAACACTTCCACTTTATACAGTTTTCTGTTGGCCCTTCTTTCCAATCAAAGACTTGTGGATGTGAGGAATGACACCTGGAAAACAAAGAAAACGTTAAAAACCTCGAGCAGCTTTACAGCGCGCAAACACAGGTGGAGAACCATTTCTTTACCTCCACCAGCGATCGTGGCTTTGATGAGAGAATCCAGCTCTTCGTCTCCCCTGATGGCAAGCTGCAAGTGGCGGGGGGTAATTCGTTTCACTTTAAGGTCTTTTGATGCGTTTCCAGCCAACTCAAGAACCTGACAGAAAGTCGAACTTTAGCTCTGTGCACAAGGCCAGATGTCGCAAGCCATGGTCAAAGTTAAATGAGCGTTACCTCGGCAGTGAGGTACTCCAGGATAGCGGCGCTGTACACGGCGGCCGTGGCTCCTACTCTGCCGTGGCTGGTGGTTCTGGACTTGAGGTGTCTGTGGATTCGGCCCACCGGGAACTGAAGAGAGATCCAAGTTAGCAAACACGGCACATGGGAGAACCAACGAGAGGGCTCCCATCTTAACAACACTAGATACGTGCAGCAGGGATGCTAGCTCAATGAATGAGAACTGGACAGACCTGAAGCCCTGCTCTCTGAGAGCGCGAAATAGCCTTTGTCTTGGTCTTCCCGGAGTCTTTCCCAGCCTTCCCACCAGCCTGAAAAACAAATTCGGTTAGTTACCAGCATCCTGATCACCGAGTACCGTTCGCTTACGTGCACAAAGAAAATAACAAAAGTGCTCACTTCTTCCAGACATGCGACAACTGCTATCTGAGCGCGCCCATCGTGTTAGCTAGCATGCTAAGCTAAGTAGGAGGCTAATACGAACGGCTAACAGATAACACAAAATAAACCCTACAACTAGGGTTTATTAAATGCCCTGAATCAACATCCCGTAGTTGTGTGGTTGACATAACACGTTCCACAATATATAAAACCCACCATTTTAAATTCTTCTCAATTAGTTTCTTCGCCGCGAAACACTAATGGCCTTCTTAGCTGCCGTAGTTACTTTCACTACGCCGCTTTCTTGAACGTTTCTCAAACCGTCTTTATCCGGGTAACGGATATGAGCCAATCATACGTCATTACAACTTTCAGCCAATAAACGCCAATATCCATTTCCGCAAACAGGGGCTGAGCTCGCTGCAGACCCGCTACTGCCATCTTGGATCGGTCGAGCCCTTTGACAGAGGCATGGAAGTGTGAGCATGTTAAATCAACCATAACTCCTTGAATTCTCAACCAATTTTGATGCATTTTTTCCCCTGCAAACATCACACATGCGGCTTTGATACAGGACACATGTTTTAACGTTTTTAATCATAGTGGGTTTGCTGTGGGTACATATGTGACTCTTGTCCAGGCTTATAGAAAAAGAGGATCAATCACTTTAAATCAAACAATTTCAATTCAATTCAATAATTTATTTCACTCAAAGTTTAAATATACAAACTTCAAATTAGAATATAAGCATTCAAGTGAAATAGGGGAGGAAGAAGAAAAAATCTTATATGACCTACCCCCTTTAACTAAGACAAGATAAATAACAAAGAGTACAAAATAGCCTTATACACAAAAAATAAACCGCTCTCTTACTTCCACAAATAATATCACTACTAAAAAATTAATCCTCCATCCTCAACTCACCAAATCATACGATTTTAGCATTTTATCTTCATACATTTTTTTAAATTGATCAGTAGTTGTACATTTTTTTAATTCATCATCCAGGTTATTCCATAATTGCACACCATATATTGAAATACACATTTGCTTTAATGTAGTACAAACAAATATCCTTTTAAACTCTGGTTTCTATCTACTCTTATCATTTTTTGGGATCAAAACAAAGAACCTTTGTAGATTAGTTGGCAGTAAATTATTTCTAGCCTTAAACATAATTAGTAAAATTTTCAAGTTAACTAAGTCTTTGAATTTCATAATTTTAGACAGAACAAAATATTTGTTAGTATGTTCTCTCGGATTTGCTTTATATAGAATTCGCAAAACTTTCGTCTGTAACAGAAACAAAGGATTAGTGTTTGTTTTATACTTATTTCCCCAAACCTCAATACAATAAGTTAAGTATGGTAAGATAAATGAATAATATAATGTCTGAAGCGTTGAAATTTCTAGAAAACAATGAGAATCTAAATAATTTTAAAACGTTCATACAACAAGTGTCTGACATCTATGGCAGTATTTAAAAAAAACACACTTAATATATGATGGAGAGACAGAGAATTCTACTTAGCCAATTTAATAAACAATATAATATAGATAACAATAGAAGTGTTCATATACATATAGTGTCAATATAATTCAAAGACAGGGTGACAGAGAACAACTAGAAGAAAATCTGGATGACAAGAACACTGTAGCACCTACAAACACAACTAACCATCCATCAGAACTGACTGTTAGGGATGTTCTGGTTCTGTTTGATTTTTGTCTTCCTCCCTTTCTGCAGATCTAGAAGCTGCTTCTTGTTCATCCTTTGTTTATTTTTGTGAACTCTCCCTTTCCTCTCCTCCATTCTCTTTCATTTCCATCTCCGCGTCCTTTGGGATTAAAAACAATCAAAAGCATATCTAATTACGTTAAGACCCCCTTAATCTTAAACCACCTGACCTGGGAGCCGCGAACACTCAGGCAGACCAAGGCACCACACTCACCACCAAATGTGGCAGGGGGAGGGCAGGCGAAGATGTGTAGTAGCACAAGAAGTCCCAGGAGAGGGGAGGAGTCAAGATCCCACCTGACATGTACAGACACAGTCAGACACTCCCTTCCTCATGCTCACACATACACATACAACCTAAGACGTACAAAAATGAACCCTAGACACCCACTCATGCTCCCCATACACACCCTATTCACTCTGGTCCTGGTACTGCTGCACATGGGGTACAACCATCACCGGTTCCCAGAGTTTGCCCCTTTCTGCTGGGGTGATGATGAACAGGCACCCCGCCCAACTCAGAGCAAAGCATCCCACCACCCCAGACAGCCAGCTTCCCCTCCTAGTCTCCAGCCCCGGGAAGCCAAGCGATAACAGAGGTGTGCTAAGACCCTTAGTCTCCTTCCGCCTGCTCCAATACAGTGTTAGTGCATGTTGATGAGGTGTATTCTATGGCTGTGGTAAGCAGGCAGTGCAGGCATAATCTGGCCTATGCCAGCTAATGCCACCACACAGCCCCACTTCGCCCCACAGCCCTCTGTGTCTAAGTGACTGTACTGGAATGTTTACTATGTGAAGTGCCTTGAGACAACTCTTGTCGTGATTTGGCGCTTTATAAATAAAGTTGAACTGAATTGAATTGAACCACCAGTAGTCCACCCCCCGAGGCAACCCAAGCACCTCCAGAGCGGGGCAGCAGCCCCCTAGCCCCAGACCCCCCCCCCCCCCCCCCCCCCCCATTGAACCCACCTCCAGGGAACATCTGGATACTCCAAACTCAGACCCTCCACCTCATCACCCAAATCATCCCGCAGGACAATATCAATGACCCCCCATCATCGCTATGTGGCAGAACCGATCAAAGGAGCCCAAAGAGAATGACTTGAAGTGGAAGCAGAGGCTGTATCAAGTGTAATATGATCTAACAAAAGATTTCTATACTGGTTCATGCAAAGAGTATCTCTATTTTTCCAATTCATGAGGAGAGTTTTCTTTGTGATGCATATGGCAGTCAGAACCAAATGAATCAAAGGTGTTTCAATCGGGACATCATCCAGGTTTCCCAGTAACACACACACACACACACACACACACACACACACACACACACACACACACACACACACACACACACACACACACACGCACACACACACACACACACACACACACACACAACATAAATACCAAGTAGTGTTTCTATGGTTACGTTGTCATTTCTTAGTAAATATTCTATTTAGAGTCCCGGAGTTCAGCTGCGTATTAGCAGTGGCTGTTTACATAGCTCCTAGCTCCAACGCTAACAACAATGAAGTGCTCTGCCCCCTTCAGGAGGCTATCAGTGAGCTCCTGACAAAATACCCAGACAGCTTTGTGTTGGTTGCAGGGAACTTCAACCACACCTGTTTAAAGACTACCGGTATGTTTCTCAGTGTGACAGTGTGAGCGTCCTGTCACAGTGTTCCGATTGATCATGCGCCCTGGCTACTTGGCCAAGGGGATGTCCCTTTGGCTGACTGGTTAGCGCGCGTGACTCTCACACGGGAGTCTGGCGATCGCATCCCGCCCGGGCCCTTGTTTCTCTACCTTGCCACACCAGCTTCAAGCAACATGTGAACTTTAAGACTAGAGGAGAAAACGTGTTGGATCTGGTCTACTCTAACACAGCAGAGGCATATAAAGCCATCTCTCAACCCCGTCTCGGCCTGTCAGATCATAAATCTGTGATGCTTGTTCCAGCATATTAACCCATGCTGAGGAGGGCCAGGGCAACCCGGATACACACCAGAGTGTGGCCAGAGGGGGCCGCTTCTGCGCTGCAGGACTGTTTTAGTTGCACTGATTGGGGGATTTTTAAAACAGCCGCAGCCAAGGGTGGGCACCCTTTTATTGAGGAATATGTGGAAACGGTGATGAGCTACATTGCAAAGTGCACAGGGGATGTTACTGTATTACAAACGTATACAGTACGGAACAACCAAAAATCTTGGGTGACTGCAGAGGTCTGTCAGCTGTTAAAGGCCAGAGACACTGCCTTTAGAGGTGGGGACAAGGCTGCTCTCCGCTCAGCTAGAACAGAGCTCTCTAGAGGTATTAGGGCAGCAAAGAGAAGGCATGCTGAGAAAATCCAGGAGAATGTCTGCCACACGGGGGACACCAGGCAAATGTGGAAGAGGATCCGACAATTGACACAGTATAAGAACAGGCAGGGAATTGAGGACAGCGATGCTTCTCTCCCAGACAGACTCAACAAGTTCTTTGCCCGATTTGAAGAAAGGGGGGAGGCACCAGGAGGGGAGAGTAGACCCCCCCCCCCCTTTCAACCTGATCGGCCCCCAGTGGTCATCAGCCGAACAAAAACCAGGAATGTCTTGGCAGGGGTTAACCCAAGGAAAGCGGACGGCCCAGACAGCATACCGGGGCGGACGCTTAAAGAATGTGCAGATGAGCTGGCAGATGTCCTGACAGACATTTTTAACATCTCTCTCTGTTAGTCCATGGTTCCAACCTGCTTCAAGACATCTGTCATTGTTCCTGTGGCTAAGAAGTCTGTTTTGTCTTGTCTTAATGACAATCGTCCTCTAGCACTGACCTCTACAGTCATGAAGTGGTCTGAACGGTTAGTCAAACCACTTATCACATCCAACTTACCTGCTCCACTGGATCCACAACAGCTTGCTTACCACTCAAACCGTTCCACCGAGGATGCTATATCCCTCACCTTGCACACAGTACTCACCCACCTGGAGCAGAGGAACTCCAATGCTAGGATTTTGTACGTTGATTTTAGTTCTGCTTTTAACACCATCAAACCACAGAAATTGCTGGAAAAACTTCTCCTTCTGGAACTTGACCACACCCTCTGTCACTGGATACTGGACTTTCTGACTGAGAGACCGCAGACAGTTTGTGTTGGAAATAAGACCTCCAAATCCATCATACTGAGCACAGGTGCCCCCCAAGGATGTGTGCTCAGCCCACTGCTTTATACTCTGTTGACCCACGACTGTGTGCCAAGACATAAGAACAATCTGATCATCAAATTTGCTGATGACACCACAGTTGTGGGTCTGATTCACAGGAATGATTAATCCGGTTACAGAGAGGAGGTCAAGCTGTTTGAGAGCTGGTGCAGAGCTAATAATCTGGCGCTCAACGTGGACAAGACCAAGGAAATGATTGTTGATTTTAGGAAATCCCAAACAAAGCACACTTCCCTCTACGTAAATGAATGTGAAGTTGAAAGTGTGGAGAACATCAAGTTCCTGGGCATACAGATCTCTGACAACCTCAGCTGGGCAAAGAACACCTCAGGTCTAGTAAAGCGAGCTCGTCAGAGACTGTACTTCCTAAGGAATCTTATACAGGCCTCACTTCACTCCACTATCCTGACCTCATTCTACAGGGGGGCAGT